GCCGACAACCCCCGGCCAGTCAAGGACCGCCGACCGCCTAGGGGTGCAACCCTGCTGCCATCGCTAACTCGGTATTTCCCAATTTGAGACTCTGTAAGAGTCAGCGTAATGGCTTTCCCTCTGGCGCACTTCAGCATGCAAAGACTTTTGTGATTAGTATTTAGAGGGGGGGAAAAAAAAAGCCCAAGCAACTTGCAAGTGGGATTTGCTGCCGGACGTGAGGTGAGGTGAGGTGAGCTGATATCTGAGCTTACCAATCCATACAAGATGCGCCGCTGCTTTCTGACAGACTTCCTTGTGCTCTATCCATACCTTCCAGCTTTGGAAAGCTCGTCTTTCTACGGCTAACTCGTAATGCGCAACAGACATGGCCATTGTCATTCTCTCCGCCCTGTGCTGCGTCACTACAGTGCACCATGCATGCCAACACATCCTGCACTCACACACACGCACACACACACACACACACACACACAGTGGAATAGGGGCCGCTGTAATGAAAATCCAAAACACACAGACAGAGAGAGAGAGAGAGAGAGAGAGAGAGAGAGAGAGAGAGAGAGAGAGAGAGAGGCCAATGGCATACTCTCCGCCCTGTACCCTGTCACTACAATGCACCATGCATGCGAACACATCCTGCACTCATACACTTACAACTATAGCACACTCACACACACACACACACACACACACACACACAGCGAGAGAGAGAGAGAGAAGACGCCCTCCACCTGCTCATAAGCTTAGAACGCCCAAACACATTGAAATTGCCTTTTGCATTTTGTTCATCTGTGAATCTTCAAGGGTGTGCAATGACACACACAAATGCTAGTCTGAGATTTCTGCCACTTTCTGTGAATGGTATCTCATGATCTGTTTTCTGCAAAGTCCGATTTTTTTAGCCTGTTTTGCTGTGTGACTTCCTGTGTTTTCTACACATGTGTGATGTGTGTGTGACCTGCCACTACCGCATGTTTGCTGTGTGCTTGCCTGAGTCCAATTCTGAGTCCGTGGGCAAACTCTGATGGGCATGACGTGTGGCTGTGCCTGGGGGATACATGCCCAGTTGGGCGATGTACATATATAGCCAAGGATCCGCAATGTGATGAAAAGGACTGAATGGACAATGCAGTGCTAGTGGAATCTCAACAAGCAGTGTACATCCTGATACATACAAAAAATGGCACTTTGTAGTGCAGTGGAAGACTTAGATATGAGCCCTGACCTGACCGGGACTGACCTCCCTCACGTAGTACAAGACAGCACAGCGGAATGCTAGAATATCAATGACTAGCCCAATCAATGTCGCAATGCAGACCAAACATACATCATCCTCATCACAAGGTGTGAAGGGACCTGGCGCTACACACAGGAAGAATGCGCCAGGTCCAGACCATACACAGACGAAGAGGAGGGGATCAGATGAAGAAGAGGGGGGAGATGGGAATGTCGTCGACACCAAGTCTTCGTTACAAGTCCCAGATAATCCCTCGTCAAATGTCTGAAGCCCAATGTCGAGTCTGGATCCAAATGTCACCAATACCTCTCTCTCGTAGTCTGCTCATGCAGTGAAGTCAGGTAGCGAGAGGGTGAGGGGCAGATGGTGGACTGAGAAGAGGAAGAAGAAGAACTCTCTCTCTCTCTCTCTCTCTCTCTCTCTCTCTCTCTCTCTCTCTCTCTCTCTCTCTCTCTCT